CGTGATTTGCTCTTAGATAGACAGGTCTCGCTTTGAATCTTGTACTAGAAAATATATATTCAAAAAACTGGTAAATTGATATACAAAAAATACTTTATGTTAAATAGTAATAAAATCTTCTCAGTGGATACATTCAAATTACTCTCAGTAGTGTGGTTTGGGGGTTTAAAACCCATGAAGTTTGCATCATCTTCTTCCTCACACACGCCCCACATCAAGGATGATGATCACACCCGAGATGAAAAAATAACTTTATATAGGGAGTGAATACTCGGATCCTAGGCCTGCCTTAAAAGGCAAAAAGTATCCCTAAGAAGACTATACTATAAAACTAAATATAATAAAAGATATTTAACCTACTTTTAAAGGATCATAAAATATGTTCATGCTTTCTTCGATATGATTAGCATTAGAATTAAAAATACCCTCTCCAACAATTAAGCTATCAGATTTTTCAATCTTAGCTTTTTTTATAGTGCATAGTTCTTTCTTACGCAAATTTCTTTTGGAGGTCTTCGACATAGTGGGTGTATTTTGTAGCAATATAATGTTAACACAAGTATGTAATTTATAAAAACAAAAATAAAAATTTTTAAGATGTTCTCTTAAAAACTAACAAATTCGGAACAGAACTTTGTAGTAAGGATAACCCTTTTATTATAAATCATGACTTATTCTTATTTAGTATATAACAATCTGATATGAAGCAATATACAATATAAATGACTCAGCATTGCAATAATCTAACATGAGTTAACTAACAATTTTTATTTGGTGTCATAATAATTACTAACAAACAAACAATTGCGTATTTACTAAATTCGGCACCACAATTATTGAACACGGTAAATCAATCAACAATTGCACATTTTCTATATTTGGAATTAGATTGTTAGCAGATATTTTGGTTATACGGAGTATAGTAATAATTTTACACACTATATATCCCCAAGCCTGATTTACAAATTTAGAATAAGCACTATGCATTTCTTTATTTATGTTATTATAACAAAACATATTGATCAAACATCTAGCATCAGATTTTTTTACAATTGATAGCCATCAAAAATAACCTTATAGCCATTGGTGATATTGATCCATGCTAGAAAAAATAAGTATGTATTATTTAACAGTCTTGTGAGTTCACTTTTATTTTGGCCTAAGTCGAAGCTAAAATAGCAATAAAAACTTGACTGGCTTTAATAATCAATAGCCTGTATTAAACTTTATGCAGTGTTACCTTAATTTCTCACAGTCGATTTTTTTATTAACAAATACTGTATTACAAATGCAAATAATGTCTAGACCTTTTTCCTTACTTTATACGATCCCACGATAAGAATAAGACTTAAAAAGGCTATAAGGGCAATAAGTATAACATTCTTTATTAGTATTTTTATCAAAATTCATATATCGCAGAAACTTGGCATTCTCAGATCATTGAGATCATTAACTTTTTTTATATCACAGGAGAGATTGTCAAATATAAGGGGTCTAATTTTACCAAAAAAATAACAAAATAGCTTCAATATATGGAATTTATAGCCGAATAGACTTGTTTTTTATGGTGAAATCTAGTTTGTATTGGGTAACATAGTTACTAATCATATGTTTTTCTAGCAAGTTTTTTAGATCTAGCGAATAGAGGTATAAAAATAAGCAAGTTTCCACCTTAAAATAAGTTAGCAATAACATTATTTTTTGCTTATATATTTTTTACTTGATTTATTTGCCGAAAATTTTTTAAAAAAGTAATGTTTTTGCCATTTAATAGTCTATGAAAATGAATTTTACTTACTATATTTTTTATTTAGAACCATGAAATGAGCACTAAAGATACCACCACCCCCAAGACTAACAATGCCATCACCCCCAAAACTAACAATGCTATTACTCCCAAGACTAACGATAGTACCACCGCCATAACCAATGCCACCACCACCCCAGGACTAATAATAGTAACATCCCCAATATCGTCTATCCTGTTACCTCAACACCACCCAACTCAAGACCTAGCCAAAGAACATTTAATTCCAATCGTCAATGCAGAAATAGAAGAAACAGATATGGTAAGTAAAATTCTACCTTCTCATATCTATTTTAAGTCAAAGAAAATAAAATATGGTTTAATTCTGTGTATTAATTAGATGATCCAGACTATGATCCTGATGAGAAGCATGATTTGGACAATTATATGTGATATGGAGATGGTGCTAGTGGTGATTGTAGCGATCAAGAAAGATATAATAGAGGTGAAATTGAATAGTATAAAAAAATAAATATAATTTTTTTTGTTTGTATATTGTTGCTCAGCAACAATGTTTTATTAAATAAAGAGAGGGTCCTGTGGGCTTGCCATTTTTTATTGTTACGTACTACATTATATGAGGCACAGTAGTTATATATAATATATTATATCATGATTACAGTCAATGAAATTTGCCTGACTCAAGTCAGTGAAATTTTTTTGCTAATTAGCTTTTGAATATATCTAATTTCTATATAAAATAATGTCAAATGCAATTGATTTACTAAAAGAATTAAATTTCAAACTCTTAGCTAAGATTACTGAACTTAGAAAGAAGAATGCTAAAATTCCTGAACTTAAAAAGAAATTTGTAAAGGTCAAAGCTGAGAATATAAAACTAAAACAGGCTATAGAAAAAAATGCAGTGCTTAAGATCCGATTTGAAGAGCTAGAAAAGAAACACAAAACAGATACTACCAAGCTTACTGCTAAGAATACCAAATTGAAAGATAGAATCACGAAATTGGAACAGATACAGACTCTAGTTACTATTAGTAACCAAAATGCATCTTCTATAAAAGATAAGGAATCTATTATTCCCGATCCTACACCTGAACCAATACACATCTCAACCCAGCCTCAGAAGGATGAGTCTAGACCCGAAGAGTCATTGCTTTGCAATAAATATTTATTTGAATCTCCAACAGAGCCTGCGATATCCATAATATCTTCACAACAAGATATTGTTGATGATGATTTGGCTAGTAGCCTTGAATTTATAGAAATGATATATAAAAAAAATATTACATCCACTATTTCTCATGAGCGAAAAAAAGAACAAGGCTTAATTCAGGAAATATCTGCAGGTGATAGCCAAGATGGTGCCGAGTCTACGGACAGTTCTTACGGACAGTGCATGCTGACTGAATCCACCTACTCTAACCCTAGCCCTAACCCTAACCCTAATTCTGGCCACTGAACTGTCCCTAAGAACTGTCCGTAGCTTCTGCACCAAGATGGTGCATTCCCATCTACCCAAGATCATGTGATTAAAATTTTGCTGACCCAAAATTTGAATCAGGTCAGCGAAAATCATGTAAGTGATATAACTATACTTTCTGTATAAAGAAGTAAAACTTTACTAAATTTGGCCACCTTATATCGGAAAGCTTGTGATGCAGAAAAACAAGCAATAAAGGCCAATCAAGATGAAATTTTATGCTGGTACTATTATGTTATTGAGTTCGATAATCAAGTTAAAAACATTATAAAAAATGAGCAGGTTGGTGAGAAAAAAGCAAAAGGACAAATTTATAATTTTATTATTGCAAAGCTTGATACTAAACGTAATACATTACATAAGCAAACACAAAGAGCTAGAAAAATTTACGGGTTATTCGAAAAAATAGGTTTAGATAAAGTAAAATATATTAAATCATATAGTGCAAATGCTATTTCGAAATTTACTAATTCTCAGATTCAAACGATTATAGATCACTTTACCAAAAAGCCTGATATAGAACATACCGATGAACAGAATAATTCTTCAGATGATCAAGATTCGGAATTACCAGAAGCTTCGGTAAATGCATCTACTGGAACCGAGGTAAGTGAAGTAAGTGATACAAATGCCAATGATAACAAACCACAATCTTTAATTACTGCTTTATCTGACGATGAGCTAGAAAATTTCTCCGATGACGATGAATTCACCAATGATAACGGAGAAGATGGGAGTTTCTGTAGTTTTTCTGATGACGATGATGAAGGTTATTATTATGATTAAAATACCAGCGAAACTTATACAAAATCGAACCGTTCAATCTATGCCTATTAGATACAGAATTCCTTGCTTTGCAGACAATAGACATTTATAAACGATGCATTTATACCGATGTATCCGGCATCTGTGTGCCTATATATTTTATTGTTACAATAAAGCAAATTTTTTTTATTGCACATCGCATCGACGTTTTTGATTCAAATTCGCCATATCTGACACATAAAATCTATTTCGGGTATATTATTGCGGAGCAATGAGGTTTCACCTCTACAAGTATATGATTTAATTTTCCGGTAATAGATGTACTATACCCATCACACCATCGACCAACAAGATATCAACCATAGTAAACAGCATAACTTTTTTATTAATGAAGATTTTGATATCGATATCATTATGCATAGATCGTGATATGATATCACAACATCACGTGATCATAAATAAGCTGAATATTACGAAAGTGAAGGTTTGGCTAAAACATAATCTATATCATCCTGGGAAATACTGGATAAGGTTACTGCTGTAAAGCTCTGAATCCGCTTGATCCCAACTCACTGAACAAATCATAAATCTGAGCCAAGAAAAAAATCACGTGCGCGTTCCGTTTCGGAATGCCGATCACTATGTAAGGGTATTTGGGTGAACGAGCTTTACATTATTTATTATTCAGATGTACACCATGAATTAAAAAATAAATTGTGTATTGCAAGATTTGCCTCAAGGTTAAATAAAGCACAACATATATCAAAGTCCAAACACATAATAAAATAATGTATATCACGTTTGATTGTCAATTCGTATGAATTGTATTGCAATATTTATTTGGATAAACAGCTTTTATTTGTTAATCTGCATTAATACTAAGAATAAATATATGCGATGATAATTAGTTAATGGTAGTGTGAATATTAAATCAGCTAGTGTCTACAGAAAATCTATTCTATCATCTGCTAACTTAAATATACAGACTCACTTAAACAATTCATCGGGAATCTTTAATACATGACGAACTGTTGTTCCTTTAGATCGAAGTACAGATCGTTCAATCTCGCCCATTAGTTCTTCTTGTTTTGTTATCTCATCCTAAGGAAAAGATACCACTATCAAATGAGTATTTTTTTTGAAAAATAAAATATATGAACATAAATCATCAGATACATACATGAAAGATAGCCATCATTCTGAGAAGAGCTTTATATTGATTTCGACCATTGAAGCTGAAAGGGATTAAAGCTGTAGCAAGTTCCGTAGAAAGAAATCTTCCATCCGGGAGCATATTCAATGCATAGAGAGTCATTCGTGTACCTGAAGAAACAGGAAACATGAATATCAAAAAAAAAAAAAACAATTATACTATTACTTACCGATCACCTGAGTACAGAACACTTTGATTTTAGTGGCGAGTTTTATGTCACAATCAAAGTGATTTCGTAAAATTCCAATTAAATTCAAAACATCCATTCGCATAGTTTTTTTCGTATCACCAAGGGTATGTAAGTCTGTTGTTTTGCACGGTCCACCGGCCACTTCCATATGCCAAACTTCTTGTCCATCTGAATACCGAGTTGCCTTTGAATCTACTTTAACTATGCCTGAATTTGTTGCGGATTTTGTTATTTTTGCCGAAGATGCATGGCTTTCAATCCAATCGAAGTTAAGATTCAAAAACGTCCTCTCATAAAATTTTAAAATCGATGAGATTTGATATGTAATAAATTTCCGTTCGCCTATATTTCGGTCCATTGTAGAGTTTACATCAACAAGATTATAACTAAAAAAGAATCAGTGGTCAATATTTATTTTGATTAACAACATCAGATACTAACATCTACCTACAAATCAAGAAGAACTTTTTCGCAATATAACCGAAATGGTTCATTCAGAACTTCAACCTGAATTGCAGTTTTGAATTTTTTTCCAGTTTCTTTAAGAGAAGTATCAACGTATTTTTCCAGAGCATCCGACCACACAGCAGGATTGATGTCACGAATAGAGGATAGCTCAATGACAAGCTCCTCGCCGATTTCTAAGGTCAACTCCGAAACAGATTTATCAAAAGCACATATAATAGAGATATCTTCGGAATATCTGGAGGAATTTGCGAGTTAAGAGACTATTAGAATTTCTCCATTTGTTAAGTGATACACAGCGAGTAGGAAATGGGATACTTACCGCTGAATTTCCTCTTTATTCCGCGGTCGCTTATTCGGTGTTGTTTTCAATGGAGTTAAAACCCGAGGAGCTTGCGGTGGGGTTCTAGGTTGTGGAGATTCCGTCGATTGCGAATGAGCAGTACTATTTACTCTCCTCATCTTCCTCTCTTCGTCTGAATTATCTTCAGCGTAGTTAACGCGTTTCATTGGTCGAGGCGATCTGCGGACTGAAGGTTCTCCCTGCAACATATTCGCAATTAAAAAAATTTTGTAGCTTATAACTGATCGTGATTAAGACCTATCTTTTCTTTACCAACGTTTACCGATTCTTCAGCCCACTTATCAACTTCCGCGTTGGTAACTTTAGCGATACCTCCTTGATATTTCGTGACGCACTTTTGCTTATAAAGAGAAAACAGTGATTGTAATGAGCTCATTTTCTATAGTAAAAAAAATAAGAATCCAACAAATATGCACTCACAAACTGAACTTCGCGACCGGTCTTTTGTTTGTTGATCGTTTCTACATTTTTATAGAATCTAATGCGTTGTTTTTTCCACGTCTCAAAATGAAAAGATAACATTAGTTATAAGACTTACACGAATTAGCTCGAAACGATTGGGGAGGAGTGGTTTAGGTCCAAGCAACCGCAGTCCCCAGACTTCCAAACTTGAGCGACCGCAGTCCCCAAGTTTGCCACCGATCAGGGTCATATGAGCGACCGCAGTCCTCATACGCCAGAAGTAAGCGACACGCAGTCCCTACTTCCTTTCAGATACTTAAGTCCTCTCCTAAACGAGAGGCTCTATCCTCCAATTCATAATATATAAAATAGTTTACTTACAACCCAAGTGTCTCTAATGTCCTTCAGAACACGCGTCGTATCTTCTTTAAAGAAATTTGATTCGAGTACTTCCTCCAAATCTTGGATTATCACTTGATATACTTATACTTGCCGGCCAAACCCGGACAAATCCCAAACCCCTAAAAAATAATTGCTATTTATAAAAAAATAAATCAAATA